TAAGGTCGACTTCTATTTCTGTTAACTTGTATTCGGGGTCCCCATTCCAAATTCTTTTAGTCCACCGGTCATCAACTGATCTTGCTACATGACCTGCCCAGTTCCACTTTAGAGAAATCTCTAACATTATTTTCTCCATTGTCCTTTCCGCAACTTGTAGTTTACTCGCTGTTGTTCTTGTGAGTGTTGGGGTTTCTGCGCCGTACGTCATCACTTTCAAAATACACTGATTAAATACTTTTCTTTTCAGACACATAGGAATCTTAGGCCTAAAAATATCCTTCATCTTTCCAAATGCAGCCCAAGCGAGGTTTATTCTTCTTTTCAGCTCGATTGTTTGGTTGTTTCGACTTATTCTGATCTCATGGCCCAAGTATTTATAGGAGTCAACTGGCTGTTTGTCTTCTACTGAGATGTTTTTTTTTGTGGACTAAATTTGTAATAAATTGTGTTTTTGAAAAATGTATTTTAAGACCAACTCTTTTTGTGGCAGTATGGAGTTCTTGGAACATTATCAGTGGCTGATCAAAGCTGTCTGCAATAAGAACGATATCATCATCATAATAATATGCTGTAATAAAAAAAACGGATTTGAGAGCGTTTTACGAAAAGTAATCTACGGAAAGAAATTTACCAAAACTACTCAATACTTATAATAATTTATTTATATCGACTTTATTTTTTAATATCCAATATCCTAAACCACAAATTGTAAAATATTCTATTCATTATTCATGTTTCGACTTGCAGAGTGATAGGAAGACATTTTTACAATAAAACGTGTCTTACAACTAGCAAAAACTCTGAATACAATTTGCTATTAGTGTAAATTTGATTTAAATACTTGTTTTTGACCCAAGAAAATGGAAAAGATAGGTGACTTGTGGAAAAGGTGTAATAAAATGTCTAAAATTAGTTTGATTTGTTCCCAAGGTAACAAGACAGTTGGTTTATTTTAGAGGTTGAATGTATTTTGAAAACTCTGGACTTGATCTCGCACTTGAAACATAAATTTTAAAAAAGTTTATTATTTTACCATTTGTAGTTTATTTCCAAGAGACATTTGCAAAAAAATCTAAGAAACTAGTACTCTAGAATTTTTTTTTTTTTTCAATTAATTTCACTCTTATTTATTATTTTTTACTTTTCAACAACTTCATTCATCGCACCACAGTAACCAAAACAATCACAATTGCTATATTTCTTATTCAGTGCCTGCAAATATTTTTTCACGTGTTTTATGAAAAATATGGATACAAACTTCATCTCCCGAGAACCAAAATATATATCACACATTCTGACGTTCGGTGTATACTTTACGTAGACATTTAGTGATGGCACTGGTCCAAAGGAGCAGATCACTCTTATTTTTAAACAACATTCAGTGTTTAGCAACCGATCAAGCGATTTGTAGATATAAAAAGCGCAATAAATACATTTTTTTATATTATTGGCCAATGCACAAGCTTAAAATCAGAAAGTTCTATAAACCAATGTGCTAAAAAGTGAAATTTGCTTTGTATATTTACGTGATGTGATTTTTGAGAGAATCCAGTGAGTGTCTAATATTAGAAGGTGTCTAAATTGGAGGTGAAAATAACACGCGTATTATTAACGATCTCTACAAATCAACCGGTACCAAATGGTGTGAACTGTATGGATAATGTGCATCTTTTTGTACAAACATAAATCAGATGCCATGTGATTTTGTGTTGTGTAAATTATGTGGAACTTTATTAGTGCCCTTGGATCATGTCTGCACCTTGGCCAGTTAAAGAAGGAGCACTGAAGAATAAAATTATGGATGGTGATCAACAAAAACAGGTTAAAACTAGGATGCATTTGCCGCCAAAATTGAACTTTCAATTGATTAATGATGTAAGATATATTTATGTACATAAACATATTTTATTAATGGTTGTAAAATTTTGTCTGTTGACACATAAGAAAATCAAGTTCGAAATAAATAAAAATCATTATGTATTTGAAACATTTTCATAGCTTTTGTTTTGTTTAATATTTATTACATTTTGTCAGCATAGTTAATTATATAAATATCATCCAGCAAAAAGACAAAAGAGGGAATCTAATCGTTACGAAAAGGAGACCAAAATTCATAAAAGTGGCCACTTAATATGTTTACCGCTGTTGTTCTGTCATAAGAATTTAAAAAAAAAAAAGTCGACTAATTGCATCTCTTACATCACGAGCATAAAATAGGCTACATTTTTAGCTTTTACTAATAAAATTTTTAGTTTTTTTCCATTTCTTCCCAGGATGGTGCGCCCAAGGATGCGGCAGTAGTACTTACTACACTTCAAATGGTTTATACTACAATACTAAAATTCTAGACACTAAATTCTGAGAAATGATAATTGAGGTTTATCGACAACACTGTTGCCAGGTTGTAATTACAAATACTTTATCAACTTTCCTTCTCATTGGTCATTAAGGTCACGTGGTCTATAAATCCAGCCCATTACAAAGAGATGCAAGGACTACTTGACTTCAGTTTTCTCTGCCGCACTGGGGGAACAGGTCTGTATTGTAGCACTCTGTCTAATTGTATTATGTATGGTTTGTTCCACTTTAATAACTCCAAACTTTATATTTTGCATTCAAACTTATATCATCCTCATCACGAAAACTACTTTGCTCTCCTCACGTCCTCCCCATGTAACTTGATTCCCAATTCGTTCTTTTATAATCTTACTATAAAGTCTGGAGACAGAGTTTGTTACACTGTATCCTCTATAATGGGCTGTTCAATGTCTATAACAAATGAAAGTCGCTATGGAACAAATCTGGTGGATGCTGCAACAATTCAAACTTTAATTGATGTCAAAATGCTCATATGGCGCGGTGCTTAGTCCTGATAAAAAAGATATTTTTCTTCTACAAATTAGTTGTTTTATCACGATTTTTTCTTACAGCTAGTCTAAAACATTACAATAATATTCAGAACTTATTGTTTTACCTGTTTGCAAGTAATCCACAAACAAAATGCCTTTTGCATAACAAAAAACTGATGCTAATATCTTCTTGGCCGACTTCTTGGACAAGAACTCGTTTCGGAACCGAAGAATCAGATGCTCACCACTCTTTAGTATTTTGTTTTGAGTCAGGATCATGGTGATAGATCCAAGTATCATCCATAGTGATGAATCGATGTACAAAATCTACTTTATCCATCCGAAAACTCTCTAAATATTGTCAAAATGTCGCATTCGAATGTGTTTTTGATCCATTGTTAGCGAATGCGGTGCCCAATGGGATCCCTAGAGCTTCTACTAAATCTCTTTTAGTCACTTGATGATTTTTTAATACGATACCCTGTATTTTTTCTACGATTTCTAGTTGTGTTGCTGTTTTTGGACATCTATGGCGTGGATCATATTCAAAGCTTGTACGAAGACGTTTAAATTCAGCAAACCATATATTTTACTGTACTAATTGAAGGCAAAGAGTTCTTATACAGTTTTTTAGGCATTTTTCCATTGTTATGACAGGTTTCGCCTCTTAAAAAGCAATTAAAAATAAAAGCGGGAAGTTATAGTAGCGAGTCTAGTCCGTGTTTTAAAAGGGATAAGGGATCGTTCTTTAGGTTAGGAAGCTGGTCCATTTTTCTTATTGATTAGAATTTCCTTCTTTTAGTTTGTGTTATTGAGTTTTCTTTTAAGTTGTCTTTGATTTGAAAGAGTCATTGTTAATTTCGGAAAAAAATATAGTGAAAATGAGTAAAAAAATCAGTGAAAATTAAAAACAATGTTCTTTTGATGATCCCATAATTACTCAAATGTAAAACTATAAAAATACCCATTTCACGACTGAAAATAAACACTCAGTCGCTTGCTCGTTGTGTACAACTTACCGTTTTCTTTGTTTGCATTTTCTGAACACTCTACAAAGATTATTCAACTACTCTATTAATAAAATGTTAGTGAAAAGCAGGAATTTAGGTTAACAAATATTCATTTCAGGCAATTATCCAATTTTAACTCAACGCACGATAAATTAATTTGAAGTTTATGTTAATCGCAGAAATAAATATTTTTGCTGGAAACAGTAAACGCCATTAAATTGCAGAATTCAGTTAATCAAAAATAAGTTACAACCTTTTTATTGGCGTTTCAGCTATAAATAAACAATGATCAATAATTTATATTTTTTAATGTAGTGCGTCTATAGTGATATACAAAAATAAACTGTATGCTTCTGCGATGAAAACTGCTTTTATAAACTCATTGAAGTATTTAAGAATTGTGCAAGAACGTAAACAAAACTCAAAAAGTGAACTTAAAAATATTTAAAAAAAAAGAAAAAAATATATATATATAAACTGCTCTAGTAGCATCTTCTCTTTTCATGTTATTTTCCTTAGAGATGTTTTATCCCACAGTACGCTGTTCAGTAAGGCTATGCCTTTCCTTCCCTGTGTATTTCGTTCCTTAATGGCTGCATCTAATTTTCCGTCCTGAGTGATCCTTACTCCTAGATATTTGTAGTCATCACATAGTTTTAATTTATGACATACCTTTTTGAAACACCCTGTATATCACCCTGTTAACACAACTCGTTTTATTCATTTTACGTAGTTGAATACAAGGTGCTAAAAAATGAATTATTAAATTGTGATGATTTACAATTCATTTGCGTATTTATTACGCGGATAATTTAATAAATGATATATTATTCAAGCTGTCCCACTCTTCTATTATTCTATTTATTTAATAGCTATTTCACCTTTGTCCCCTTCACATTCACCTTGTATGTACAGTTAAAGATTTCAGTGCTACAACAATATTATTATTAACTATCTTTTTTAGGTGTGTTTTCGTTTAATATCAATTTACAAAAGTTAAAATTATCAAGTAATATAATCCAAGTAATCGCAAAACTCGTTTTCTAAATTAGTTTTACGTAATAGATTTATTTAATAATCATAACCCGTCACATACAAACAACTTAACTTGATACCTAACCTCACTAATTTGTTGCAGGAAGCTAGATCGCTCAAAGCTGGAGATCTCAGTCAACAGGAGTCCAAGAACCTGGCTCAAACAAACATGAAAGTTACAACAGACAAGTTCAGTAGTGAGAGAACAGCCATGGAATCGCAGCAACAAAGGCAGACTGTTACAGCTAGCGGCTTTTACAATCAAGAAAAACACAGTTCTAGCACAAGCCACATATACACGTCTTCTTCTTCGAAAGGTCTTAGCACATCGGCAAAGATCAATGCGACAAGACAGGTAATTTTTAAATAAATAAATTTATGCCAATTGTTAAAATAGATACATCATTTTCTTTATTGTCTGGTCGTTAAGTCAGTATTTTATCTCATTTCTTCTCAATCATTATTTTGTAAATTTAGCTCTTTACTTTTCTATTGGAGTTTTGTTCACTTGTTCTTCTATCCCTTTTTCTCCATTCCTATTGCTTTAAAAGTTCAAATATTTGTCATTATTTAATTGAGTGTGGTCCGACCTTTTATAGTGTATTTTTATGTATGAGAGAGTAATAAAACAATAAATTATGTATGCAAATCCCTAAACTGTTGATACGGGTGACTCAATGAAAAACAGATATTTGTCAACAAGTTTACAGAAGTATATAGGAAAACAATTTTAAATTGAGTATGACCACCAGGTATAAAGGTTGGAGCAGAATAGAATACAATAGTTGTGAGGGTTACTAATCCCTAAATAAGGTTGCCAGTGTCGGAGTGATGGAGGTTAACAGGTACTAATGAATTTGTAAGAAATGTAAGATGTTTATTTTATTGGTTATATATAACCAATAAAAGTTTAATAAGTACCTACCTATTTGCAAAATAAAGTTTAATTCTTTAGATAAAATAAAACGTTTTATTTTATCTGAAATGAGTGCATTCCACGAAGTAAGGGTTTCAACAATCAAACATTTAATTCTTTAATTCCACAGAAAATGTGATAGTGGGTTTTTCCATTTTGTAGGAAGGTCCAAGTGGCGTATTCAAAATTCTTAACAGTTCACTAAAAGTAGGTACTTCAGTTGCAAGGTGCAGTTTATTGTGTATACTAGTGTTATGGACAATTTGGAAGTGCCGTGTAAACGCCGAAAAATTGGTCCTTTAACAGTTAATGAAAAAACATTAATATTTAATTGTTTTAAATCATTTACAGACAAACGTTTATGTGAAAGTGTTGATGAGACCGTTGAGTTAGTTAGCAGTACACTTGGTGTTGGGAAATCTACGATTTACAGAGTTATTAAAGAAGAGAAATGTGCTAGTTTTCAAATGCCACGTAATGCTCCAGGGAAACCAAAATTTCAAATAGAATATCATTTTAAAGAAGGACTTCGACGGAAAGTGCATGAATTCTTCTTTAGACAAGAATTTCCAACATTGGATAAAGTTCTTGTCTCAGTTCGAGATGATAAGGATTACCCAGAAATGAGTCGAAGTACGTTATGGAAACTTTTACAAGAAATAGGCTTCCGCTGGAAAAAGAATCCCAGAAAGTCTATTTTATTAGAAAGAAGCGATATTGTCATATGGAGAAGACATTTTCTAAGAACCATAAAGGAAATGGGAAACCAAAAAAGAAAAATATTTTATCTTGATGAAACATGGACCAACGAGGGTCATACACCAAATAAATTTTGGCAGGATGAAACTGTTACACGTCAAAGGCACGCTTTTGTAAATAACTTATCTACTGGTTTAAACCCACCATCAGGAAAGGGACGCAGGCTGATAATAGTACACATTGGCAGTTCAGACGGTTTTGTTGAAGGTGGTTTATTAACTTTTGAATCAACTCGTACCGGTGACTACCATGAAGACATGAACGCTGATGTCTTTCAAGAATGGTTCGAACAAATGATAGATCTTCTTACTAAGAACTGTGTAATAGTAATGGATAATGCAAGTTATCACTCCAGACTTATAGAAGGACTGCCCACAACCAAGTGGTTAAAAAAAGACTTGCAGAATTGGCTGAGTTCAAAAAATATTACGTACCATCCCCGATCTATAAGAAAGGAACTTTATTCGTTGTGTGCCCTTCATAAAGAAAAATTTAAAAAATACGAAATTGATAAAATTGTCAAAAATCGTGGAATGACAGTACTTAGATCCCCACCATATCATTGTGAATTAAACCCGATTGAACTGGTATGGGCACAGATAAAGAGTGAAAAAATACCACTTTTAAAATTCATGATGTTGAACAGTTGTTTTTGGAGGCCGTAAATAATGTAAAACCTGAAAACTGGGAAAAGGCAGTAAATCACACTATTAAAGAAGAGGAAAAAATGTGGAAGCTGGACAATATTACTGATAAAATGATCGAGCCAGTTATTATAAATCTTTGTTCTGAAAGTTCATCTTCTGAATCTGATTTGGATTTGTAACAAGTAGCTGTAAGTTTTATATTAATATTTTTATTCATCTATTTAACATACCTTAGACGGTTTTAAAAACTCTTTTTCTCTTTTGTAATTTTTAAAAAATAAAAAAAATGTGAATTTTTTAAAACCCTTTTTAATGTAGGCCAGTCAGTTCTAATATAGTGTGTGATAAAAGAGGTCACTTTTGTTTACATACACATAACACTTTATAACACTGAAATAATTCATTTATTTTTTACAATTATTCAAAGTAATTTTTCAATTAATCTTGAGCACGCCCATGGAGTGGTCGGAGGTACCAGTTAAAATTATGCTAATTACTCTCTCGTTCATAAAAATAAACTATAAGCTTGATGATTGAACAGTTGTCGGTATTGTAAATAGAGATTTTTGTTTATTAAATTTAGCTTCAAGTTCTTTTACATGAGTATTGCGAGCTTGACCTTGATATTTGTAGTATTTTGTTTTGTGCTGGGTTTTATAATGCCTACTAATATTGTATTCTTTTGATACCGCGAGTACTTGACTAACTAACACATAATGCACTGAGGTTTGCCTTTTAATTCGATGGAGAAATATTGATTTTCCCATTTTTCTTGGAAACGAACGATTCTCTTCGAAAATTTTGCGTTTTTTGGCACTACTCATTCTGAATTTAACATTCATTTATTTGCCACTGTTAATTCAACACGACAAGTGCAGCTGACTGAAGCTAACTGCCCTCTCATCGGGAGTGGGTGTTCAAGGTTAACTACTTTCTTAAGGTTACGGAAAGAAAGACAGGGTTGGAACAGGTAAAAGTTATCAAAGGCAATATTTTTGAAATGTGTTTGTGGGGGCCACAGCTTAACGAGCCTCGGGTCGTATGCGGCCTGCGTGCCTGAGGTTGGACCACACTGATTTAATGTAACCCTCTTGATATTGTTTCGCTTTCTAGTTCCATATCCAGCACAAATAACTTATGCTCTTGGCAAACAGCTTTATGTTACCTTGCACTCCCTACATTTACATATATCTTCTCTTCTTGTCATGAAGTAATATATTTAAGACTGATTTTGAGTACTTGAATAATATGTTGTTGTATTATTTTTAAAAGACTGTATTAATAATCGTCATAAAAAGGTTCTGCAACCGTTTTCAGTGGCATGTCTAAGTCAAATATCATGTTTATATGGGATTAAGCCACAATTGATTGTAATGAAAATTACATTTTTACCAAATCTTTCCAAAAAAGTTATTTTTTTTTAATTACTATGATACAGTGATACAGTGATTACAGCGATACAGAAAAAACGAATTAAAAAAAAAGACAGCGATTATTTTATCCCTAGACAATTTGGCTGAGTAAATAAACAATTAGATTTTGTTTATTCTTGTCGAAGATTTTAAGACGCAATTCGTATGTTTATGAAAACGGAATATACAAAAATAATGTTTAATAATCGTCATGTCTATTTCTGGTTTAAGATTATATTCCCAGCATTATTTCTACATCCAAATCATTATGTATCGCTTTATATCATCTGTTCGGTTGATCTAGGTATCTATTCAAATTACCTCTATATGTAAGGGAGTTTCCCCCGTTGAAATATCTCAAGTATGTATCCTTACGGACCAAAAGCTCTTCTATCAATCTCTCACAAACTAACCTGGGTCATATGCATTTAAAAACTCGCATGTCTTCTTACCTACTATATTTCCAACGGTCCAACACCCTATCCCGATTTTCTCATTTAGTAATAGTAATAAATGTATATTAATAAATGTTTTATATTTACAGTTTCACTTATTAAATGGCACCCCTGAAGAAGCAATATTAAACACATCGTTAGAAGATCTCGAAAGTCTCTCAGCCACTTCAGATGTCCACGATATTGAAAGAGCAAAACACAAATATTCTACATATTTAGACGAATCTATTAGATGCCTTCAAAAACTAGATCAAAATAAAGATGCACCCTTGGTGTTAGATAAAATTAATGACGTCATGCGTAAGGCATGGGCAGTACCGACCTATGGTCATGAACTTGGCTACGCTCTATGCAACGCACTGCGGAACAGCGGTGGATTGGATCTGATAATGCAGAACTGTACAAAATCGGATAAGAGTCTGCAATTTGCTAGCGCTAAATTACTAGAGCAGTGTCTTACTGCTGAAAATAGAGCACATGTAGTAGAACATGGTCTAGATAAAGTTGTAAACGTAGCGTGTGTCTGCACAAAAATTTCAAATTCTGTCGATCATTCAAGGGTAGGAACTGGAATACTGGAGCATTTGTTTAAGCACAGCGAAGAAACGTGTAGCGACGTCGTTAGGCTCGGTGGTTTGGACGCTTTATTATTCGAATGCAGAAAAAGTGACGTAGAAACCTTGAGGCACTGTGCTGGAGCTTTAGCAAACCTTAGTTTATATGGTGGCGCCGAAAATCAAGAAGCTATGATAAAGCGAAAAGTACCGATGTGGTTATTCCCATTAGCATTCCACACCGACGATAATATTAAGTATTACGCATGCCTTGCCATAACCGTATTAGTAGCTAACCCCGAAATTGAAGCTGAAGTCCTGCAATCTGGTACTCTTGGCCTAGTAGAACCTTTCGTGACCACACACAATCCTTCCGAATTCGCGAAATCAAATCTAGCTCACGCTCATGGGCAAAGTAAAACCTGGTTGAAAAATTTAGTTCCTGTCTTAAGCTCAAAACGTGAAGAAGCTAGCAACCTAGCCGCCTTCCATTTCTGCATGGAAGCCGGAATAAAGAAGCAGCAGGGAAACACTAACATGTTCTCCGAAATCGGTGCTATCGAATCACTAAAAAAAGTAGCCAGTTGTCCTAATGCCGTCGCCTCAAAATATGCAGCTCAAGCCTTAAGGCTCATCGGAGAGGAAGTTCCTCATAAATTAAGTCAACAGGTGCCGTTATGGTCTGTGGAGGATGTTGAGGAGTGGGTAAAACAGATAGGATTCCCAGAAGTTTCGATTAGTTTCGTAGAAAGCAGAGTTGATGGAGATTTGTTATTGCAGCTAACAGAAGAAAATCTTAGGGATGACATTGGTTTAACGAATGGCATAAAAAGAAAAAGGTTAGTAATATTTTACTGTATTTAAAATTACATATATCGAACAAGTTCAGTTTTAATGATACCGAAATAAAGGTAAACAAATACAATTTTTTAAAATTTTACTCTTTACATGAACAACCAGTAGCTTCTGTACAAAAAGGGTACATATGTGGGAAATTATGTACTTCTGTACATATGTGGGAAAGTATGGGTATAATTTCAGTGTATGTGGACTGTATTATATAGGGCTGGTTCAAATAAATTAGGATATGTGGTAAAGGGTATACAGACAATAGCAAATTAAGTTTATACAAAGTCTTACCAATATTTTTTCTGCTCCACACTCTCGCGGTTTTTCCTCTTATGCGGAATATGTCCAGGCACACTCGCGGTTTTTCTAAACACTTGTTTCGCGGTACTAACACTTTGCGAGATAGAGCACACTTTGTCTCTACACGATTTAAAATAGTATTTGCTGTATTTTTCGCGTAACTAAAGCGTGAGAGATGTAATTAGCGATAGAAAACAGCCAAGAGAGAGAGAGAGAGAGAGAGAATGACTGTCTCTAGCGGTAGCCGACAATGAAAAAAATAAGACTCGCATTGGCGGTAGTCAAATCAAGAGAGAACGTCTGGCCCTAGCGGTGGCCAAATCAAGAGAGAGTGGTCTGTCCTTAGCGGCAGCTGACCATCAAGAGAGAGTCTTTCTTCTTTGCTATCTTAAAACTGTCTGTATTTTTAATGGAGTGGGGTTAAAATGTCTATAGGAAAGGGTGAAGGGAGGAAAATAGTCGTAAAATTGTGATAGAAGGATAGTCAATATTAGAGCGAAAAAATGACATGATTTTTCGCATGTGAAAAAATTGAACAGCTTTATTTAATTTACTATTAGTTTTCTACATAACTGCGCTAATATTAAAGTATTTAGTGTGTCATACAAGCAGTTTTTGCTATAAGGTTTGCCGAAATCAGCTCCTTTTCAATGTTAAGAACTTAAGGCAGAATAACAACATATTGTTACTGAATGACTTCTACGTTTATTCTGATGTTTTAATTGAATGTATAGTGGATTATTCAAATCAATATATTACTTTCTCAGCATAATGGTGGCCCTACATAATCGTGGCATTTTACATTTAGAAATACAAATCAATATAAACAATAGTCTGTGGTACACAATCTTGTTATGGGGTACACATTATCTCATAGAAGATTGTAGCATGGTTAGACTATTAATATAATATTAATGTTTTGGACTCTTCATTGTTGACTTGGTGTTATTCAACGAGATGGTCACTGGGACCGAAACGGACGAACATTGTCGTGGAGCAAAAAGTTCACCCTTACTCACTATACTCTTTTAGGACTTGCAAGCAGCAACTTGAGTAAACGTTCCGTAGCAAATCCCTCAATCATGAAGCTTCGCTTCGCTTATCATCATCGATATTTATGCAATCCAGGAGAACTTTTATGAAGGTGAAATCAAACCTTTTAATAGTAACAGTAAGTTCTGCCTAAGCTGCCTTACTGTGTTAAAGTATCCCCTATAGATTCCTGTCTCTATCCTAAATAGATCTTCTTCTTTTTCTTGTAGTTCTTTATCCTATCGGAGGTTGGCTAGCATCACAGCTAGGTACGGATAGCTGTGACAGTAGTTAGACATATCAAGGCAGGTCACGTGGTATGATAAGAGGATGACAGAGTGTTAAAGACAGTGTTTTTTGAAAGACCAGATGGTAGAAGATCAGTAAGCCGACCGAGAAAAATATGTTGAGGAAGGATGATGTTGAAGTCGATTTATCTAGAATTGGGGTACAACAATGGGAAATAAAAGCGCAAGATCGTAGAGGATGGAGGGTGATAGTGGATGCGGCGAAGACTCACCCTGAGTTGTCAGCCAGTAAGCCAGTAAAGAAGAAGACAAATCTCATCGTATGATGATCCAGTTGTAGTACGACTATCTGGGGATTTGCCGATTTAGGTCTTGTAAAGGTGCATTTGTGTATATCTAAAGTTAACTATATGTAGCTGCCACCCCCATGCCACATTCTTAGTGGATTTTCAGATCTTTTTTTGGTTATACTTCATTCACATCTGTCCTATTGTCTTATATATCCATCCGGTCTAATCTGTTTACTCAAAAGCTTAGACTGAGAGTCTTAGACCAAGACGGATGGTTCTTATTTTAGGCTAATAAAAAAGGAAAGGCACTGGCTTTTATATATCATTTCTACTTTTACAGGTTCACACGAGAACTTCAACAGCTAAAAAAGATGGCAGACTATACCTCTAGAGACACATCCAATATCAACAACTTCCTTCAATCAATGGGACTCGAATTCTCTATATATACTTACAGTTTCTTAAATGCTGGGCTTGACAAAAAGGATTACCTACGAAATATCTCTGAGGACCAGTTATTATCCGAATGTGGAATCAGTAATTCTATTCACCGACTAAGGATAATGGAAGGTGAGACTCAATAATTTTAACTTAATTTTTCTCCATTTTATCGCTTTACTTGGAACGGTAATTTTTTTCAAAGTAAAAGTTTGTTTTGTTTTAATTTTAATTTCTCTTATGTGTAACTGACATATTTGTCCTTGTGTTGTGTCAATATTCTATTGTACAATGTCGTATCGTCTATTTTTAATACAATAAAATTACTTTTATAGGTATTAGACAATTAGAAAATGGTCTCGCCAACGGAATGAACGAAGACAACCAAGACAAATCCTTAGATGTTTTCGTCAGCTACCGACGGTCGAACGGTTCCCAACTCGCCAGTTTACTCAAAGTCCACCTGCAGCTCCGAGGATTCAGTGTCTTCATCGACGTGGAGAGACTTGAAGCCGGAAAATTTGATAACAATCTTTTACAGAGTATTCAAAAAGCCAAACACTTCTTGTTGGTGCTTACGCCGAATGCTCTAGAAAGATGTATAGGAGACATTGAAAGAAAAGACTGGGTACATAGGGTAAGTAAACCATTAAAAAATCTTTTTCTACTTTAACACTGCTCTCAATTCAGGTTTTGCTATTTTCCTAAAAATACAATAAAATATTCAAAATATTTATTAAAACATTTGCTTCTTATATCAATTATTTATAGTATTTATATCTTTTTTTTAGGAAATATGTGCAGCTCTATCAGCTAATTGTAACATCATCCCATCATCGACAACTTCATCTTCCCTGAACTCGAACAGTTGCCGGAAGATATGAGACAGGTCTGCCACTTCAACGCCGTTCGATGGATTCACGATTACCAGGATGCTTGTGTGGACAAACTAGAAAGGTGAGTTACAGCATTTATTGGCTATCTCATTAATCATCACCGTCTGCCTCTGCAGCCACTTCATTTATTTTATGACATAACTTGGCTTCATGTGCTTTGAAATAACACCTTTGCAGAGATACGGAAAGGGTTCATATAAATGCGACAAATAGAATCGGTTATATGTGATTAACATGAGTTTATTTTAAGAGAAATATGTTATTTCGAACAAATTTGAATATATTTCATTCCCATGTAGGTATTCATTAAGATATCCACGCCAATGATAAAGGCTTTTATTGTTTTCCTGCAGAAAAATACAATAAATTTCAACAATTTTAAAATTACAGCCATGATGTTACCATTTTAAATGATTCTGGAATGCTTTTCGAACTTACTCTACAAAACCATCGTTTTCTTTAAAAGAGGGAAATAAAAATCCCATATTTATGAAGTGCTTAAAATTTATTCCAGTATTTCAATTGCTTGGCAGCTTTATATAGAAAAATACCCTCAAAAACATTGGAATCGCTAATAACATTTACCAGCTTTGTTTACAGTGACCCTAGAGATGACAAAACTTATACAAAAACTAATATTGGACTGCAAGATACCAGACGCATGGAGAAACAATATATTGATACCAATGTTTAAGAAAGGAGATAAAGAAGACCCCAACAATTATAGAGGTATAAATGTACTGAACACCGCACTTAAGGTTACCACAAAAGTCCTAACCAACAAAATCAATAAACTAACAACTTTATCAGATGAATAAGGATTCATATCCGGAAGATGGAAGAAACAGGAGTGAAACGAACACATTAGCAAAATTACAGAAGATAGGATAGTACGAATAGCACGGTTCTCTTAAGTGAACCGGCACCGGTGACCCGAATCTTAAAGATGACCCGAAATTCCCGTCACTTCTCACAAACGTCCTCACAAAACTGACAAATCTGTCACGTGACTGTAAATAGAGGGGAGACCCACGCAGCGAATAGTATAATTCAAGGTGTCAGTATTTAAAATCAAAATCGAATATTCGATATTTTTCAGTTCGAAATAAGCATTTCCTATTTTTGAAAACTCACCACCGTACACCCATTGTTTTCGTAGGATAACTCTTCATATAATTGAAACTCATAAAATAATCCCTTTCCTTCTCTCTATATATATTTCTAACAAACATTATCTTTTATGTATTTTCTAGGTTTTTAAATGGTACTTGTATAGATCACACATAACCGCATTTGGAAACCATTCCACTATTGTTTTATTGCATGTTGTAATAATTTATTTTTAATAAAGACTTAGTGCTGGCTTACTTTTTATTTAAACAACCATTTTAAGTTAACAATAACACTGTTCAGTTTGTAAATAAGAACAGAATTTCAAACGATTTTAAGGGTATATATGCTACAAAGATTGAATAATCTTATGCAACCCGCTGAACGCTTTTGATGACGTCAGAAGAGTGTTGCCAAATAAATTAAAAATCAAAAAATATAAGGAATAACTTAACTATGCATGCATATGTTATAGATTTCAAAAATTTATACAGTAATTATTTAACTACATATACAAAGTAAATCCACAAATTATCTTTACAATTTAATCGAAATATGTTACTATTGGTTAGCATAAATATCTTGCCAATATAAAAACCTAAAATGTTTTTTCTAAGAAAATTTGATGACATATTTACCCTTAAAGATAATTATCTATACTAACAGAACAATTTTTGATTCTTAGAAATATCAGAAGGAACTTATCCAGACGCAACTAAACGTAGAAAAAACATCCTCTCTGATAGGGTATCTCTGTTCTACTACAGTATTTAAAAAAACTGAGATCCATTTGTAACTTAAATGATAAGTGATAACGAGAATAGATGGAGATAATATTTAAATTTCAAGGATGTGGTGATAATGCAAGATAAAAAGTAATGCCAACCTAAGATTGCGTATTTAGATAATTAACTTGTCGCTTTTTTGCATGCCTCACTAACATGGTTGAGGTGAGTGTCATACTTATTCTAATTTTGTGCTTTTATCGATTTTTCGAGGAATATTTTTAAATTAAGATTAATAAAAAATAAATACCCACTTAATATATTTTTAATAACTACTTCCAATACCAAAATGGCCAAAAAAATGTTTTAAAACAATTTAAAAACTAATAAAATACAGCTTATAAAAAATAAAAAGGAAAAAAGCTCTAACAATTAACTTTAGTAAAGTTTGTAGACTTAGAGTAAACTAATTACGTGGCTACATGAAATTTCAGTTGTAGTTAATTTCCAATACATAGGCTCTATAGGAAATTCATAGAAAGTGCAAATAAAAAATGTTTTGCGATCGTTAAAAAAACCGTTGGAAATCATCCAAAAGTTGCAAAAGCGGGAAAACTTCGAAAAAGAATCTCAACGTAGATGAGAAAGCGGCAAAAAAAGCGTCTTTATTGTCGAAAAGCATCGGAATTCGGCAAAGAAAGCTTTAAATTTGACAAAAAGGCCTTGGACAAAAAGGCATTGGAATGCGTTGAAACAGCATGAAATAGCCTCAAAAGAAGACAACCCATACTAAAATCGTGGAAAAAAAGCTTTGAATTGGATGAAAAAGCGTTAAAATTTTCTAAAATGCCGATTAAAAATTTATAAAGTGTCGACAAAGTGTCAACATAAATGAAAAGCATCGCAAAAGATACAAAAAAAAGGGAAGTGAGACCAAAAGAGATGAAAAGCCTTAGTGTGCCAAAAATTGTCAAGATCATCAAAAAAACATTAAAATACGTCAAAAAAGTTTCAAATGAGACGAAAACACGTTAAGATATTCAAATCTGCATTAGAAAGCAAAGAAAAAACATCAAATGGAATAAAAAGCAGTGCGCAGGAGAACTCTGAAGTTTTAAAAGAAAATTGTTTTTTTTGCAATATATTATCAACAGTTGGATATTTTGTAATGAAAATAGGCATGCGTTTCCTTAAAAAACAGGTTAGGTTAGGTGAATGCTACAGAAATAGTGCAGAAACTGTAAGACGTTATGCACCAAATATAACTATTTCTTTCCATTGATCGTCAATTATTGGAGAGAGATCAAACTATGACGAGAATTTAGATCTCATTGAATAAATTCCTTGAAGTAGTATGAGGGTAGTATTAGGGTAGTAGTAGGTTTTAACGGAAATGCAAGGAATAACAGAATCATAATGTTATTACAAGAAAATCCTCACGCAAAAAAGTGTCTCATCAGCAAACGATTTTTAAAGTCAATGTTTAGGCAATAACTCTTCATAATAACTTAACCAGTAATTCTTCCAAACATTTTAATAAAAAACCAGAGTTTTTTATTAAAATTTATTACCGGAGTACTTGAAAGTGATAAATATTGCGCTCAGCAAACTATGTGGTTTTTAGAAGATGTCGCTCCACCGCATTATGACAGATGTTAGTGTTAGAGAATATCTTTTCGAGTAGTACCACAACTACGACAACTACATTGCCAAACATTACATTTTCATTACAAAATTTAAACAGATATTGTATAAATATATAAAAAATTAATGCAAAAAATCAAATATAAAACTGCGTCATCACTCATGTTGGTTTTTTCGTACACCACATATCCTTGGTACATGCTTAGCTTCTGTAGTCTCTTTCGCGCTTTTGCTAAGAAGAAAAAAAAAAGAAAATTTGTCTGATAAGCTTCTTATCAAAAAAATAACTTTCTGGTACAAGACGCAGACATAAGAATACCGATTTCTTTCTTTATGATTGATATTTACTACCACATTTATTAATAAAATTAATAATATTTCAGGTTCATGCGAGGAGAAGCGAATCCACGCGGGGACAACTACAGAGTCACTTTACCGAAAGGCGATATAACTCCAGGAACACCTTCAAATCCCAGTTTGGTTAGGCAGCCTCCTAACTACCAAAGAATGCACAGCAATGACTCAGGAAGTGGTAAAAGCTCCGACAAAGACATGAACGGCAACTCGGGGTTAACGAGGGATTGACTAGATGGTCCTTATGCCTCGGCTACTCCTACTCCACTGCCTAGGTACTTATCTTTCATTTTATAATATTTTCTTTAGTTGGGGAAATTTAGTATAATGTATACTATCAACCAAACAAGATATTAGAACTAATATAAAAGATTTACTAAAATCACCTCATCAAATGTAATATGTCAATATAATATTTGACATCAAACGTGATATGTGACATTAAGGTGGAACATTTGTCATAATATGTGACATAAATCGTGACATGTGACTTAAAACTTGGAACATTTATATAATGGGTAAGGCCATTTAATCCCATAAGGCCTGTAGTAAGTTTTTGTAACACTCCAGTTTCTATTTTTTTATCAGAGTTTATTTACAACACAATTCAGTCTATCACTAATTTTAAACCTAAGTTCTCCATTAAAAATTCTTTAGATCTAATAGAACGTTTATTAGGATAGAAGAGGGTTTTTATTTAGTTTCTTTTGATGTTTCCAATTTGTTTACTTCTGTACCAAGAGATGAAACATTACCTTTATACACAACCTTCTAGACAATTGCAACATATCTGCAAAGGATAAAGATGCTATATTAACTATGCTTAAATTCTGTCTGGATCAGGACTTCTTCCAATTCAATCAAAAGATATATAAACAACCAACAGGTTTAGCAATGGGATCTCCATTATCACCTTTTCTAGCTGATATTTTCTTAGACAGCTTAGAACAGAAGTTTGTTAATAACAACAACAAAATAGTTTTTTGGTCAAGATATGTGGATTGTATAGCTCTCATACAGGGAACCCAAGATGATGCTTAACAGATTCTGGATGTTCTCAATAACCTCCATCCTAACATCTCTTTTACTCTGGAACCAGAATCTGACAATAATTTGAACTTCTTGGATATGACTATTTCCCGTAATAAAGATTCTTTAGAGTACAACATTTATAGAAAACCCACCCAAACAGATCACGTTATACACGGAACGTCTAATCACCCAACTCAACATAAAATGGCTGCTTTCAACAGTTACATTCATCGGTTACTTAAATTTCCTCTTTCTGATGATAATTTTAATACAGAACTTAATACTCTTAAGCAGATTGCTTTCAATAATGGCTATGATCCTAACATTATATACAAACTCCTAAATAGAGCTAAACAAAAAATTGCATAAAAGCTTGCATATTCATCACAGTTTTTTCAACCTAATGCTTCAGATAACATCAGATATTTCTCCTTCGCTTATATTAGTAGCATTTCCAATAAAATATCTAAACTTTTTTACTTCTACAATTGATAACATCAAAATTTCCTTTAAATCACATAACACTTTAGGTTCCTTCTTAATCAATACCAAAGTTAGGATGAATTCACTTGATAAAAGTGGTATTTACAAATTAAAAGGTGATGATTGTGATGCCTCTTATGTAGGTAGAACCATCAGAAAGTTATCCACTAGAGTCTCTGAACATTTGAAAAAACCAAACTCTTCAAGTTTTGGTCAACACTTAGTATCCAGCAACCACAATTTTAACATCAATTCTGGATCATCTATCTTACATGCTATTAGTAGAAAGAAAAACTATGTTGAGTTGGATTTATTGGAAGATTTGCAGATTACAAGGGAAATATTATATGCAACATATTGTTGCATATAAATTAAAAATTGCAGAGTTCATAACATGTTATAAACAAAATGTACTTTTCTAAAGCTTTATCTTTTTATATTTGAAGCATACACCATCTACATTATAAAAACATGCCAACACTGCTATACCGAAATTTTTTGATATATGTTTGACATTTGCGGCTATAATCAACTTGTACTTTCGGTAAACTCAACCCTAATTAAGAATTAATTTGTAATTCTATTATATTGTATAATGGGAAGCAAATAGATATTATTTTATTATTATTATAAAACATGACATGTGACGTATTGAGTCAAATGTCCCACGTTTTATCTCAAATGGCGAATTACTGGCGCCGACTAGCGGATATTAGTTGAACTAAAAAAATTATTTGGAAATTAATTTAGATTTAAAAATAGGAAATTACTTGCGCCGGCCATTTTTGGGCGGGCTTGTGACGTCAACATATTTTATTTTCTTCTCACTATTACTTAAAAGGTATTTCTCTCTCTCTCTAACACATTGATTTCCCTATTTTGATACTGACACAAACGTAACTTATCTACTAACTGGAGACACAAAGTCATATTTTACAGGCTTGTATGAATTTTGAATAGGTGTATCAAGATTTTCTGAGATTTTACTACGATAATATCTAATATCAAATATGTT